TGTAACATTCCTCCTGCTTAAAAATTTAACACTGTGGAAAAGACACAGAGCAATGAGCAGTTTTAATCAGATAAAGTATTAGTGGAAAGTAGGGCCCCACCTTGACCTGACATGTTTTGACCCTGGCCTCTGCTGCCCTCAGAAAGGAATAAGCAAATTTCAGTCACATAGAAGGGTTAGGTCACAAGCACAGAGAGTGACATCTAGTGTGTACGGTGACCATTCACACAGCACTAACAAGGATAACAAACGAGGACACTGATTTGCATAATACTGTGTCTACTGTATGCACAGACACAAAATCAGAAATGATTGTTCAGATCTCCTCCCCAGAATAAATGTAACATTTTCAGAGTGCTAAGAGTGAACTGTCGTGATTGATGGGAAATTAGAGTGTCATAGGATCCAGGAGACTGAAAACTAATCAAGAGGCTCAAAACAGAGTGTAAAAGTTTTCAGTTTTATTTTAGCTGATCTGAAGCCATGCAGGACAACCTATTATTGAGTGGCCGAAAGAGGAAACTAGACATGGGAGCTTCAGGGAAAACGAATACGAATGGTGGTTTTAGCGAAATGCCAACAGGTGAACTCATTTGTGCCTGTCCATCACAGAAGCTCAAAGGGGAGGAGCCAAGGATAGGGCCGGAGGGGCGGAGTTAGAGAGACAGTTGGAGATATGGAATGGCAGTTAGGGTTTAGGAGAGAGAAGGAGAGGGTTAGAGAATTGAGCTGAGAGTGTTAGGAGAGGGAATTGAGAAGTTTAAACAATATTGTACAAACAGGAAGGAAAGTATAAGCACTACAAGAGAAATATTGATTGAAAATATATAGCAGTTTGGAATAAAAGTGATTGCCTATGTGATCCTATCCTTGTTAATACCTGATACAGTTCATATGTGATTTACCTTTATGATTTACTTGACAATAAAAGAATATTTGTTAATTAAACCTCTGATTCCGAAGTTACACGTCTGTATAACATAATAACATAATTGGTATTAGGTGAATACCTGGTGGCAGCGTGAAGGAAAAGGGTGTGATCCTTTGTGAGGGCCTTATAAACAGGGGCTACAAGGTCGATCGCCACAGTGGTACATTCCCACCCCCAAGAACTAGCCCAGTCCACTCACCAGTGGCCTCACAGCACACATGTCCACCAGCTGCAACATTGTGCCAATCACAGAACCAGTTCTGCCAACACTGCTCCATCTCTCCCACAGCTGACCACTCCTATGAGGATGTGGGAAGATGACTCCCAACTCAGCTTCTGAGCAGATGGCTGAGGGGAGAGGTGAGACAGCTCTGGCAGGACTACTTCCGCAATTGGCACAATGTTGCCATTGACAAACACACATGCTTCGAGGAGCCTGGTGAATGGAACGGGCTGGTTCTTGGGAGAGAGGAATGGACCACTGTGTCACCTGTAGTGCTGTGCTTTGTATTTGTTTTCCTGGAATATGAATACTGTACAAAGCTCCCAGGTCTAGTTTCCTCTTGTGGCCACTCAATAACAGGTTGTCCTGCAAGGCTTCAGATCTTTTAAAATTAAATTGAAAACTTTTACACTGTGTTTTGAGCCTCTTGATTAGTTTTCAGTTTCCTGGATCCTATGACACTCTAATTTCCCATCAATCACGACAGTTCACTCTTAGCACTCTGAAAATGTTACATTTATTCTGGGAAGGAAACTTGAAAATGAAGATGTACCTGATAACTGAACTACACTTGCATTGGGCGGGAGGCTAGGGAATCAGCCAGAAATTGTTTCTCTGCATATACAGAGTGATTCATCTCATTTCCTCTTCCTCCATCCCATTATCAACTTCAAGTTATCAATATTGTTAAGTGAAATAGATTTCTAAACCTCCTATTGTTTGGCAAAGTGCTAAAGAGACACCAAAATTAGAAATGTACATTAGGGGTAGCAGAAGTCCAAATGGTTGTTGGAGGGGGGGGAAGGGTTTTCGGGCTCTTTAGACGTGTTCTGGAGGTTTTTCTTCTTAACGTTTTGCCAGTCTCTGTGGCTGGCATCTTTAGAAGACAAGAGTTAGAACTCTGTCTGTGTTCTGGTGAGTTCTAACTCTTGTCCTCTGAAAATGCCGACCACAGAGACTGGCAAAACATTAGGAAGTAAAACCTCCAGAACACGGCCAAACAGCCCGAAAAACCTACAGCAACCATCAGATCCCAGCCATGAAAGCCTTCGAGAATACAGAAGTCCAAATAATTGGGAAAACATTTTGGTAGGAGCAAAATATGCTGAAGTGGCTGAATATCAGAGAAAATATTCTATGTAAACATCCTAAAGCAAATGCCTATTAAGAAAGGAGGCCATTATGGGAAACTAAAAACATAAAGGATCAGGAAAAGCCTGCATGGTTGTAAAAAAATGCAAATGCAGGAAGAGGTGATACCTTTAAACGACCATTAAGAATATAAAACAAACTTACAGTATATGCTTTTATTAATGCCCCAAATTCACATGGCTCATGATACTGACAGTCGGGCAAGATGGAGAGGGAACAGATTGCCTGACAGTCTTTTAAGAAATAGTACATAAATTCCTTTTGTTTCTGATCATGGGGCGTTCTTGGCAAAGATACTGGAGTGGCTTGCCATTTCCTACTCCAGGTGGATTGCGTTTAGTCGGAACTCTCCACTATGTCCTGTCCATCTTGGGTGTCCCTGCACGGCATAGCCCATAGCTTCTCTGAGTTACTCAAGCCCCTTCGCCACAACAAGGCAGCAATCCATGAAGGAGGCAGCAATCCATGAAGGAGATGGCTGGACAGTGTCTGCGAAGCAACCAACATGAACCTGACACAACTCCGGGAGGCAGTAGAAGACAGGAGGGCCTGGCGTGCTCTGGTCCATGGGGTCACGAAGAGTCGGACACGACTAAACGACTAAACACACACATAAATTCCAAACCTATAGCTGAGGAGATTGAAACCAACTTGCATATTGCAGCTATCTCCATCTAAGAAGTGAATATGGCCTCAACATCATCAGCCATGTGAATCTGAAACATTAATAACAGCATAAAAATTTGGAGCTACCCACAAGAACTTGATGCACAGCCTTGAAGAAGATGATTTATCATCAAAAGCTTTCTGTTTTTTGTTTGTTTTATATCCTTAATGGTTGATTAAAGGTATTGCCTCTTCCTGCATTTGTAAAATCATAAAATAATCTAGAGAAAATTGAACATGTTGTTGTTGTTGTTTAGTCGTTAAGTCATGGGCGACTCTTCGTGACCCCATGGACCAGAGCACGCCAGGCCCTCCTGTCTTCCACTGCTCCCAGAGTTGGGTCAAATTCATGTTGGTAGCTTTGATAACACTGTCCCACCATCTCAACCCCTGTCATCCCCTTCTCCTCTTGTCTTCACTCTTTCCCAGCATCAGGGTCTTTTCCAGGGAGATTTCCCTTCTCATGAGATGGCCAAAGTACTGGAGCCTCAGCTTCAGGATCTGTCCTTCCAGTGAGCACTCAGGGTTGATTTCCTTTAGAATGGATAGGTTTGATTTCCTTGCAGTCCAGGGGACTCTCAAGAGTCTCCTCCAGCACCACAATTCAAAATTGAACATATAGCATGTAAAACTGGCATAGTAGTTTCTATGATAATGCAATAGCAAGCAGTACTTACTGTAGTGGGAGAATGTACTTTGAAGCTTAAACCCTGTTCAAACATTCAGAAAACAATGCAGTGTGTTTGATCACGGGACAAAGGCAGGCTAATTGCCTTAGAGAGAGAACAAAGGAGTTGACAGGAGATGCCCGAGCCAGCAGAGCCTACAGGCAACGCCCTGAGAGCTCTTTTATTTACTTAGCATGATTTACATAGCATGTTGTGAGAGAGACAGATAGGAACTAGTTACCTATTCGTAACCAGGATTGGCTAAAATAACCCTTTGATCTTTTGCTGTACCTCTAAGTGAAAAGGCAGAATAAAGGGTTACCCCGCCTGTTGGCAGCTGCCGCTTCCTGCCAGGAGTATATGCACATCACTGGAACAGAAGGCAGCTACAACCTTTAAGCAGAAGTTTCCCACAATCCAATTTGTAATGACCAAAGCTGGTGACACAATCAACATGAGGAACAGGTGCTTTAAGAGGACAAGACTGTTTATTCTAACATGAGATTCTCTCAGTCTTCATTTGGCAAATTAGCCTACTTCAGTATGATTGGTGAACTGGCAATTAGCACCACTTCATTTGCATGTCTAATAACTCAAGCAAGGAGCTATGTCAAATAATGTCATCATTCCAAGAAATACACACATTTGCTTGAAGGTGTGGTATCACGATTTGGAGAAGAAAAGCTGTAAGACCCACACTATCCATTGTTGAGGAAAGCCGCGGTTCAAATAAGAAAGCCTCCATTATGAATGGAGCCTCTCCGCTTACCTGAGGACCTTTGAAAAATGAGACAGGGCTAACACACCATACGTGTTCAGATTAACGCTCTTCTGAATGCCTAGACAGGGCTTTAATGAAAATAAGCATTGCACAATAGATCAATATAATACCATGGATGCTTAGGAGGAGGATCAGAAAGTGGATCAGCACATGGTACACCATAAATAAAGAGTGAAACAAAGCAACCCATCCATCAAAGGCAGCCTTCAGATTTATACCATGCCTACTGGATGAGGGTAATGATGTTACTGTCTAGAGATGTTTTGAGTTACCTGCTCTTTTGGGTCTTATGCACCGTCATAGAAACTCATGTGGAGATGGAGATACAGTTAGCCTGGTCTATTCTGCATATGGAAACTCATTTCTTCATGATTTGTTTTAAAAAATAATGAGAATCTTTCCAAAATAATGCTATATGGACCATCTTTCCCCAAAAGAGCAAGCAACATACACTAAAGGTCATGCTGTATCATGTCCATAAGCATTCCTCGGGTGCAAAATAAAATGCCATTGACTCTGATAGGAATGATAATTGACTTGGAGGCTGAAAAGCTAAGTGTGAGCAGCCCCAACTGCTGTATCCATGGCAAGGCAGCACATTCTGGTGATCACTTAACTTTTATTGGACTTAGCATACAAAGGGAAGGGAAGGGAAGGGAAAAACAGTGTCTCTGTAGTCCTTTACACAGGCTGGAGGCCCCAGCTCAATGCACTAAGGATAAAACCGGTAGCTTTCTATAATTCCAGTCCTTCTAGGGCCAAGGGAATATTCTGTCCCTGCCCCCCAAAACTCCTTGGGAGTTACTACACTCCTGTGGCAGCTCATCCCACCTGAAAAGTCCTGGCTGATAAAAAGTCCTTGCCATCCCAGCTCCCCAGCATGGCATCCAGCAAGCGGAGGAGGCCATGCAACACCAGCTGCCCCTGGGAGCTTCTTTCCTTCAGCCTTCAACTTGCCTTCACTTGAGCCAACAGTCCTCCAGAGATAGCAGCCTCTTAGAAGCTCCTTTCGGCATCTCCCGACAGACTATTCTCTTTCTTCTCCAAAGTGACAAAAACTCCCAAATGTCCAGTCCCTCCCCCCTCTCCTTGCTCGGTCTCCTCTATATCTACCTCAACTACAGCTACAACTGTTTCTCTGGGGGTGGGCTTAGGGCCTCCACCCTCCTCTGACTCGGGTGTTTTTCCTCAAGGCCGAAAACCCTTCTGCCTTAGGTGAGGGGGCCTGCCCACGCTGGCACTTAGCTCCTTCCCCCAGCCAGCTGTAGCTGGCTCACACTGATTCTCTTCCTTTCTCCCAAAGGGTATCCAAAAGATCATTGTTGACTCCAGGTTTTGGCAGGGAGATTGCGATATGAACAACACAAACATCTGTAGATGAGAGCCCCTAAGGTGCTCTTGCAGCTTGAGCATCCCTTCAAAACATTGCAAGACTTTATTTTAGTGCTTTGAACAAGTTGGAAAAAGCCAGATATGGCCTACTTTTAAAACATTCTTGCATCAAGTGACCTTTCTTCCACAAGGCCAGGCTCCTTTCTGAACCAATAACATCTGAAGTGGAGAGTAAGAAACATGAAAGCTATAGTTCAGAACACCTGAGGAAGAGCCATTCCCAATCTCTCTCAAGTATGGTTGAAAGAGGATTTTATTTATTTGCCAATTTGGACACAAAATCCTTTTCTTCCATTGTTTTTTCCCCCAATTTCTGGACAAAAATACAATGATCAAACTTCTACCATGCATAGAAGTTTGATTTTCTATCTTCATCTGGTATGAATCAGGACTGCACTATCTGAAGATGAGAATTGTGTTAGGATTCTACCTCCCACCAGTTGTTCTGGTGATATTATTTCTATTCATTTTTTAACCTTACAGTGACATTTAATACTACAGCCTCCTCCCACATATGGTCAGTGGCAACTCAATGACAACTTGGATCTCTCACTCAGATCTCCTCAGTGACAGCTCCAATCTCATTTTCTCTTTTTGATCCTAGTATGATTCTCTGTTGATTACCCCTTCATCTTTCATATGTCCTTCCCCTTTAATGTTTCCTAATAAAATTAAGTTCATTTTTCACCCACCTTTGTTTACATCCTGAGCACGGTTAGCCCAAATATCTAAACAGAGCTCTGAATATTACATTTTACAAGGAATCTGTTGTGATATTGTTTATGTCTCGGCAGCGAAGTTGCATTACAAGCCATTGCTCCATTGCACATCAATAACAGGTTGCACTATCCTTTTCCACAACTCGGCAGAGGGAGAGGAATTCTTCTTGCCGAACCTTGGAAATATTTATCAAAATATAAAACATCAAATTAAAAAATACTTCCCTTGTTCTTTTTTAGTTCGAAAGGGGATGGCGTAGAAGCTGAAAAATTCCTGTCAGAATTGCTTTCCAAAACGCCCCAAAACTCTTTTTCAAGGTAAACTTGGAAAGTAAATAGATTTTACTTCACAGTTCTATTTAATATTATTGCTAATATCAGTAGAATTATGAAGTAAAATGACTTTATAATTATTAGTTATATTGCTTATTACCTAAAAATAACATTGCCAATATCTACTCACAGTACATCCAAAATCTGCACCCAAGTGTATACTGTATGAAAATAATTTGCATAATAGCTTGATAATCACTGTTTTGCTATTTGTATCATTAATTGCCGAAACATTTTTTTCTACCCCTCGCCTTTCCTGAGTTATGCTCTCAAACAAGATTCAGGGAATAAATTAAAAACAACACACACCCCTTTCCCCCCCCAAAAAAAATTCTGTGGAACTACCTTATCGCACAATGGCAATAAAACATTTAAAGGGCAATTTTAAGAGATCATTATCCACTTTTGCTCAACACATCTATTATAATTATTGTTCCACAGTTACCTAGCCAGATCTCAGGAGCAGAAAGATAAAGATGAATTTACATATTAAAATGTTGGCAGGAAGTCATAATGAATTAATTGGGATCAGGAATTCTAGTTTTAACAGAGTTCATATTGTTAAGGCGTTTCAGCAGGTCAGCATTTATTAAAAGGGGGTAATAGTGTTAGTGGTGTTCACCTTTTCAGCTTTGAAACTTGCTGTGTGCTAAAGAGCAGCTTTAATGGAAAAAGCACGATTACTATGAACATCAGCGATAAATTGTTGGAAGTGATGGGTCAGCTTACGCTTGAGAAAACAGGTGTCTTTGCAGAAAAAGGACCCCCTGAGGCCTCTTAGCCTCTCCTTTACCTATCCTGCCCTGTGCTGAGCTTCCTTTGCCCTTCAGTTGCTATTCTTAGGGTTGCCGATGTCACTTTCTTCTCTCTCATGCCTCCAACGAGGAGACATTTCGTCTTTGTTCTCTAGGGATGAACAAGGTAGCCATGACTCCTAACATTCCCCACTGAGCTACAATTAGGACTTCTGTCATATTTCCTACCACAGGGGTATTTCTCTATAAACAGAAACATTCTTATTTTCTTAGAAAGAAGTGTGGCAACTTGATTGCTTTACAAAGGGGGAAGCTTCAAAGGTCGCACCCACAAGTTAACGTGGCTCTGGTGCCTGTGTGTGCTAACTCTCCAACACGAATCAGGAAGTATCACTTTATCATCAACATGCCTGATCTGCCATAAAGAGATAACGCCTATTGCTCTCGCCTTACAGGATTGGTACAAGGTTTAGAACAGAATTGCATATAGTGAACGCCGAACTAGGGATGGGTGAAAATTTTTTTGCAGTTCATTTCTGCCCGTCGTTTCGTCGTTTAGTCGTGTCCAACACTTCGTGACACGACTTCTTCATTTCTGACTTCCTGATTTCTGCCCACAAGCAATTATTACGATTTTGCTACATCTTCTCCCTCTCATATCTGCCTTATGAATACTCCCTGAGTTATTCTTGAAGTCCTAGCTTCCCTCCCCAGCCAAACTTCAAATCCAAAAGTGAAGAGTTGGCTTCCTGGGACAGAAACGTTTTTAGAAAAGAGAAATCAAGCATGAATTTCTAATGGAGAATTTTTTGGCATTGACATGGAAAAGGGTGAAGCATCCTTCCAATCTACATATTAGTCATTCTCTGGGAAACTCCCCCTTGCTATGGACTGTAGTTAGATGTTGTAGAAGTTACATTTTGGAGTTGAGCTCATAGAATTCTGCTGGCAATGCTTGCTGTAGGATTCTGGGAGTTATAGTTCAAACTCTTTCCAAGCTTCTCCTTTGGTGGGATGGAACTAGATACTTTCCATCTATTTGCAGAGGTTCATTTCTGAGGCTTGGGTTTGTGGGGAGGTGGGATAGAAACATGATTTGAAGTAAATAGATGGGAAAAGTCATTGATGGCAATGTTGAAGGCAATGGTTTTAAAACCTTTGAATACAGCATGTACTATTCAAGTCGTTTTTAAAGGCAAGCCAATGACAATTGTGATAGAGCCCCATTAAGGATCTTTCTGAAGGTTGAGGTGTTTGGGTCCTTTAGCACATTAAATCCTTTTAGAATGTTGTTGCAGTTTCTTCATTTTTGTGATGATCCAAATCATGTGAAATCAATTGGTGACCTAACTGTATCTTTTTGTTAGGTCTCTTAATGCAGACTGTGCATTGTGGAAAGCATGTTTAACACTGATGTTGAATATTGTTAACTGACCTCCTGGTACGCAGAATTATCAGAGTCCCAGAAGTAATGTTTCCAAATGCAGTTGGTATGTGATATTCTTGTTCAAATTGTGGAAATGTTAAATGAACTACAACTTCAGTTAATACTATGATCTATTGTGATTGCAATTATGTTTTTGACTTTTATTTGTGAAGAACTGTAAGTGCAAATTACTATGGAAAATGCAGGATGGAAAAATATGTTTAGGATCTTTACTTTGTATTTTTTGTGATTTTATTTTTGTTATATTGATGTGCTTTTATCTATGTGAGCCGCCCCGAGTAGACATTGTCTAGAGGGGCGGGGTAAAAATCTAATAAATAAATAAATAAAATACTACAGTTTCCCCACATTTCTTGGAGCAACACAAGCCTTCCATCTTCTATTATTTAGATATCTAAAAGGTTGTCAAGGGGGTATTTCCACATGCTAATCTTTGTATAATAAACAGACCATTGAAGGAAGACTAAGGAAAAACATCCCTTTCCACACATACTGACCACATTTTTGGCCACAGATATAAACCACAATGATATTAGAATTTTTTTGATGACAGTGTATTTTGTTGTCATTGCATGCCGTCGATTCACTTCTAATTTATGTTGATCCTATAAATCAATGATCTCTCAAAGTCTGGTTGCTCAGTGAGTTAGGTATCTGGTTGCAGAGAGGACCCAATATGTGTCATCTTGGGCAAGCTGCACAATCTCAGGAGAAGGGAGTGGTAAATTACTTCTGATTAGAAGTAATGGTCACCATAAGTCAGAATGGACTTGACAGAATGTAATTATTATTAATAGCACTGCTCAAATCTTACAAGGTAAATGCTGTAGTTTTCTTTATCAAGTCGTCCATCTCGTGTTTGGTTTTCTTCTTTTCCTACTACCACTCTTCCTAGTATTAGCATTTTCGAATGAGTCTTGTATTGTATTGGAGCTAAACAAAATATTTCACAAGGTTTAACCATTTGTTTATTACAAAATATTGTATTTAAGTAGCAAATATTTGTCTATTTCATTGCAGCGGAAGACAGGAATCGATCCAAGCAGCAGCACTATTAAAGGCTACCTCCCACCCACCCCTGCATGCCAAGGCTCCCAAAGACTTACCCACAGCAAAAAGGAGCTTGAGGGAGCCTCAGAATATGAAAGCAAAGGTCTATGAAGCTTTTCATTAAATGAAATATTTCCAGCACCTGATCCAGGTTATGTCAGTGTCAACAGAACGGCAACAGAATTTTCCCCATGATGTAATCATGTAAAAGACAAAAATGGTGCCCCTCCAGACTTGATCTCCAGAAAACTCCTTCTTGTGGGCCCTCTCTTCTGTCAGAGCCTCCCAAGCAGGTTTACTTGGAGGCAACAACTGCACCAGTGTTGCTCCAATGAGTGGCAAACGGCAAAATTAATATCCCACAATGCCTCTGATAATGTCGCCCCAGAGTATTGTGTGACATAAAAACTACAGCTTGTAGATATCTACTAGGCATGGGACATTTGTATTTTTTGGACTTTAGCCTCCAGAATGCACCAGGAATTCCCCAGCCACAGTTCTGGAGCTTTAGCCAAGAAATCAACATCCCCACAAGAGTTTTCAGTTACAAACAGATAGAGAATGAAGGCTCTGCCAGCCATTTTGTTCTTGTGAATGAACAAAATGGTTGGAAGTGGCCACATTCCATGGACGTTGTAAGAGATTAGGAGACGATGATGACAGTGATGACTACTACTACTACTGTTATTACTTTTTCTTTCTTCTTCTTCTATTTAATGTTGAATCGGAGCCAAAGGCTATTACCACAATCCACAGACAGCTTGGAAGGGATCTGGTGGTGCTGTGGGTTAAACCGCAGAAGCCTGTGTGCTGCAAGGTCAGAAGACCAGCAGTCGTAAGATTGAATCCATACGATGGAGTGAGCTCCTGTCGCTTATCCCAGCTCCTGCCAACCTAGCAGTTCAAAAGCATGTAAAAATGCGAGTAGATAAAAAGGTGCCACCACAGTCGGAAGGAAACAGTGTTCCGTGTCTAGTCACGCTGGCCACGGAAACTGTCTTCAGACAAACGCTGGCTCTACGGCTTGGAAACAGGGATGAGCACCACGCCCTAGAGTTGGACACGACTGGACTAAATGTCAAGGGGAACCTTTACCTTTTACAGACAGCTTTGAATCAAACAAAAGGTTTGGAGGTAAAAAGGAAAAGGAAAAAAAGGGGGGAAGAGTTAAAAGGAAAAAAGAAGGGACGTCTGAATATAAATGACCTACTAAATTACAGGACCGCAAAATAGACCACCATCCATTCAAAACTTCATTCCACAAATTATAGCCCTATAATATACCCCCCAAATTATCAGCCATAATACCTTCACCCACCCAAAGATTAAAGAAGGAAAATAAAAACTCCATGGCCAGTGTTATCTACCTCCCATCGCTTTTGCCACTCACATCTTATTTTCTTCCACAAATAGCATTTCCTTTCACTTTGAGTCAAGGGCAGAGAAATGTTGGTATTAGAATGCTCCATGTATATTTTTTATACTTGAGTCCACCTGTTCATTTCCCTGTATGCCTAGCAATTGCCCTGTACCGCCCAAATAAATACATCGTGATCCTCTTTTGCATCTTGTTACCCAACTTTCTTCTAGGTAAATATAGGCAGCTGTGGAATGAAACCTTTGTTTCATCCATTGCTACAGGTGTGCTTTTCTTCTCCTCAGTAGGTAAATTACCTTTTCCAGTGACAGCTTTTAACCCCACTGTTTAGGGTCGAAGAAGCTCTTGGCAATTCTAGCTAAATGTATGTGTTTTCCTCACTTTGAAACAGCCAAAGGAGGAAAGAGAGCAGGATGACAAGCAAATTTGCCAGAGACCAAACCTCATTACTGCAGGAATAGATAATCACATTAGGGAAATTTCATGTATAAGAATTAATTATAGGCAAGCCTTTAGGGCCATCATTATTCTAAACCAAGTTGCTGAAGGAACACAAAGATGAAACTGAAAGAAATGGGACAATTCTGGATTCTTGTTTTAAAGGTTAAAATATATGCAAAATGAGTATTAATATATTTGAGGTAATAACTTGTCAATGGTGACTGTGACAAACCCAGACCTACTGGGATCTATCACACAGTTACTAAGCTGCCACCAACCATTCCCTATAATAAGTCACACAGACCAGGGATGGATTTTTAAACAACAAAAGAATAAGGTTTATTTTAAATACAAACAGGGTAAATAAAACAATCAGGTGAATAAAATAAAGTAACGTGGCTTATTCTCACACACACAAGCATACAGTTTGGTTCACCTAGAACCTTTAACTTAAAGCACAGACCCTGAACCCATCAGTTCTGGCTAACCAACAGACCCCTGAACCTTTCAGGCTGGTACTCCGACACACAGTAGTACCCTGTCAGACACCCAGACTCCCACAACAGCTTCTTCTTCCCAGCTGCTGCTTCGTCACAACCCAGTGTCTCTCAGCATCTTAGGTAAATTACCTTTTCCAGTGACAGCTTTTAACCCCACTGTTTAGGGTCGAAGAAGCTCTTGGCAATTCTAGCTAAATGTATGTGTTTTCCTCACTTTGAAACAGCCAAAGGAGGAAAGAGAGCAGGATGACAAGCAAATTTGCCAGAGACCAAACCTCATTACTGCAGGAATAGATAATCACATTAGGGAAATTTCATGTATAAGAATTAATTATAGGCAAGCCTTTAGGGCCATCATTATTCTAAACCAAGTTGCTGAAGGAACACAAAGATGAAACTGAAAGAAATGGGACAATTCTGGATTCTTGTTTTAAAGGTTAAAATATATGCAAAATGAGTATTAATATATTTGAGGTAATAACTTGTCAATGGTGACCACTGATTCTCCTCCCTAAAGGAATACCACATCTACTGAAGACAACTACATTAGATAGGTTCTGAATTCTTATTTAATGCTAGAAATATGTTCCCAAGTCAGTAGTAAAAGTCAGACTTTTTACTCCAAGCCAAACAAGATAAGACACCAGTCATTCAGTTAACGATTCTGTGAATGGCTTTGAAAAAAAATTAGAGGAATAAACCCAATCCAGAACTGGACCCCAATGTGAAAATAGGGTGCTTTATCTCTGTCTCCTTCACTAAACATCCAGTCCAGCTTGTAGACAATTACTTCCTGAGATTGTAACACAAACCCTCCTCCCTGTTTTCTGAGGAATAATGCTCCCAGTAGAATAAATGGCACATTTCTTTCAGTGCAAATAGGGATATCCACTAGTACCAAAACAATGCACAAATTGTTAAGCCTGCACTGGCAATTTTCTTAATGCTTTCATCCATCAGGTTGTGTGCATGCTTACACAGAGACAGAGTTGCATTGAGTTCTTACCTTATATCCTACTGTAATTATAATGTGATGAATGGATTTTCATTGAATACAATCCTCTTTTTCAGACATATTGGGAATGTCTGCATTCCCCAAACAACGTTGTTGCATAGCATTTTGAGTTCCCACTTGTGGACCTTTCCCCCCACCTGCCCCACACCATCAGGATGTGTACAAATAGCCGTACAAATCCAAGAGCAAAATGCTTCAGGCCACCTCTAAACCGGGGCAGGTTGGACTAGATCTGTGTAAAAAATATTTGGATCCTAATCAGATCCAACTATAGGTGCACACCCCTAATTTATACTGTGTACATGGTGTGAAAAACATACTGGCCTAAATCCTGTTGCTTAATGTAAGCCATGTTGTAACTTTTGGTCCATTTCTCCCTGGTAGCCAAAACCCATGATTCTTGGGTGAGGGGCAGCCACACATGCACCAAGCCAGCATTTGCATGCCTCCTCCCCCTGGAATCATAGCTGGGACTGTTTATTTATCAGAGAAAAATAGATTGAAAGTTATTTGGTTTATGCTAAGCAATGGGATTGAAAACGACAATTCATGAAGCAGAAACTATGAAGAAATGAAAAGTTATTTAGGGAAACAGCACATAAATTTGAACTACTCTTCTACAATTGGAAATAGATCACAGAGAAGTACATTTCTTGAGGATATATTTATTTAATTATGGTTAATCTAATTAAATTCTTCTTCTTCATCATCATATAACTGCAAGGGACCCTATGGATTATTAATTCCAGCCTATGTCAAGGAGCCACAATGGGGAATTCAAAAAAATCCCAACCTCTACCACTGAACTTTCCAGCAATTCAATAATCTTACAACTACAGAACTGAAAGAGACCCTATAGATTAGTGATGTCGAAACTATGGCATGTGTGCCACATCTTGCATGCAGAGCCCTTTCTGTGGGCACGTGGGCCATAAGTCGCCATTGAGAAATACTTACCCAGCCTCTGATCCCGGATTTTGGCACTCCCCACTACTGGTGTAGTAATCCAGTGGAGGGGTGCAATGGCGGCTGTTACAGTAGCGGTGATGTCATCTGCCTGTCATTGCTGTGGCTGTATGTCATCTGCCAATAGCGTGCCGGGAGGTGGAACATAAGAGGGTGGAGCTAGGGTATTTAAGGGGGAGTGAATGAGGTGTGAGTCAGATAGGGACTTGATAGGGTCTGGTTAGGGACTTAGGGAGTTAGGGCTTGTACATGTTGTGTAGTACTGTGCTATATATTAGAGTGAAGGTCTGAGAGAGAGTGTGTGGGGGGGTACTTTATTATTACTGATTGCCTTCTATTTTAATTATTATAGTGATTTACCATTCCTTTTGTTATTATCAATAAACATAAGTTTTTATTTTAAAAATCATACTTTTGTCTGAAGAGTCTTATGAGGGAATGGTTGGTGGCAGCGTGAAATAAAGTGAGTGTGAGGGTGACGTGGCAGCTCCTTTGTGTCGTGTGAGGAGGCTGTCACAGCAGCCATTACAGGTCTAGCCCTAAGGGGACTGGAGGACTAGTAAGTATTTCTCTGTTAATACTGTCCCTAGAACAACAACAAAAAAGATTTAACCCTTGCAGTTGTTGTTTTTTTTCCAAAACTAAAACCTCAATATTCACATTTAATTGCAGTGCTGGCACTTTGTAATAAATAAGATGTTTTTGTGTTGCTGTTTGGGCACTTGGGCTCAAAAAGGATCACCATCACTGCTATAGATCCTCAAGCCCAGCCCCTGACAAGGATGCACAGTGGAAAGTCAAACTCCGAACCTCTGGCTCCACAGCCAGATGCCT